GTATACCGAAGTTGGCCAAACTGGTTACCGATTACCGATACCGGTTTGTAACCGGTTTACCGATTACCGAATTACCGGTAAACGGTAACAAACCGGTATTACCGAAATACCGTGAGAAGCGATTTCGGGCGGTTTTTTTCGGTCGGTTTACCGAATATTTACCGAACCGAATCTCTGGAAGTGGGGTGATGTTGTAATATTTCGATTTTTTTGAGTTTTTTTCATCATTTTAGTAATTAATAATTTATTATTAACTCTTATTTACAATATTTGTGAGGCCTATACTTACATTCATGTATGTAATATTTTATATTAACTCTTATTTACAATATTTTTGAGGCGCAACACTAGGGAGTAGGGAGGGGGGATTCGGTATCGGTAATACCGATTTACCGTCGGTATTTACCGATACCGTTTTCGGTAAACCGACTCCCCCAACTTCCCGCTCGGCTACCGATACCGCCGGTAAACGGTTTACCGTTTACCGCCGGTTACCGGTTCGGTAAAACGGTAAACCGTTTACCGGATTACCGTTTACCACCCCTAATCTAGACACTCTTTTTACAATGGAAATGAAACCCAAATTCAAAGCTCCCTGGAGTGGGTTTCCTACTTTAGCGGCGAGAATTCTGTTTTCTGTTCTATCCACGTGCGGAGCAGAAACGAAACCCAAATATGGCAGAAACGAAACCCAAATACAAAAATCAACAAATCGAATAGGGGAAGACAGATGAAAGCAAGCTATGTGAGGGACTCATTGAGATTCCATTGAACAAAGGCGGCAAGTTCAGAACATAATATGGAGTAGGAGAAGGCGAGGAGTCATTCGCCGACGACCCAGTTCTCTTCAATCGACAACGAATCAGCGGCCACAGAGCAGCTACTCAGGTTTCTGCCTTTGCCAAAGATAGCCGGCTTCAGAGCAACGAGAAAAAGAGAGGTGCCTCGAAAGGGTTCTAGGGATTCAGAGCAATGAAAAGAAGCTGAAGAGAGGTGCCTTCGTGCGCAGGCGAGAGCATTTTGTTCGAAAGGGGTTTAGGGATTTCGAAAGGGTTCTGGTTCTCGGGATTTTCAGAGCAACGAAAAGAAAGAGTTGCGCGAGCGTTTCGTTGAAAAGGATGAGGGATCTAAAGCGTTTCGTTCATATTGATTTCTTATTGGTTTTCTGGTTTTAACCGAATAAAAACCATTAAGTTTCTAAATGGTTTAAAACCGAAAGACCAAAACCATCAGCTTTCCAATTGGTTTGGTTTCGGTTAAAACCGAAAAACCAAAACCAAATGGACAGCCCTAAATGTGACATGTTATCTCACTCCGACATATATTTACTCCTAAATGCACATAATCGATGTGCTTATTGATTTAGTGTCCTTCTCTCATCCTTAATGGTGGTTTAATTTAGCTGTGGGATGTGAATGGATCAAATCACGTGGGGCCTCCATCAGAGCTTGTTTTAAATCTTGTTTATTTGCATACCACTAATAGTCACTAAACTGCAAAACAAAATGTTCCTAATTTCTAGGGCGGGAAACGGTGCGGTCTGGTCCAGACCAGACCATATATATGGTCTATGGTCCAGACCGAGAGGCTAAAGTATAGACCACAGACCAAACCACAAACTATACGGTTTGGTCCAGACCACGCCTGTGCGGTCTGGTTTGGTCTGGTTTGGTTCAGATAGACCACACTCAACGAAAAATGAATAATTTGTTTAGTCAACCACACAAAAAATTGAACCAATAACCAGGAAAAATAATTGTCATTTGCTTTAAATCATTAATCCTAACATGCATGAATAATTTTGATACTCTAGATCTTAGTACATAACAAAGATACAAAGTAAAAGCATCCCCAACTTGCACCATAATGTCATAAACATTAACATAATTTCATATGGAGACACGATTATCTCTACTCTCTGGTTAAATGTGGTTGTGAATGAAGGAGGGACGAGATTCACAAAACTAAGGTTGAGACTTGGGTGTCATCGTGGGAGTTGGGAGAGTGGTCGAATGGGCTGTTAACACGTATTGACAAGTCAGTTGGGTTCACGGTTTGGTCCGGTAAACCGCGGTCTAGACCAGACCAGACCAGACCAAGAGATCAAAACATAAAATAATACAGACCATGGACCAGACCAGACCATACTTTACGGTCTACGGTCCGGACCAAACTGTGCGGTACGGTTTGAACCACGGTTTTTCTAACGGTCTGATCTATTTTCCCAATCCTACTAATTTCAGACCCTCAAAGTTAAATCAATAATTAATTAAGTGGATGGAAATTAAAGCACGATTCAAGAACTAATCAATTCCTCAATGTATAAGCATGCAACGAGTTTGCTTAATAATTGTTTGGAGTGCCTAGAAAGGTCTATTGGAGTTTCGTGGGTGGTAAGTGGTGACGACTTAATGAGAATGTGGGATGGCCAACATTAGCAAATGAGCCGTACTTGTTTTCTATTCCTTTTGTGGTTATTAGTGGTAGCTACCTTTAGAAAAAAGAAGCCAAAGCTAATTTGTTTGTGGGTTTAAATTAATTAATAAAGATTAAGGAGAGTGATGAATGGGTGGATTATATATACTAGCTAGTTTCTTGTTTTGATATTCTAACATCTTATTGAACGAATGCACAAGATGAGATGAGATGAATGAGCTTCTGGAGGTCCAGACTTCAGAGAACATGTTTTTATATAGGAGTCTGGTCGGTGTAAGGAAAGAGGCACAGAGTTCTTCAAATGTTTGTACTCAAACTTCGAACTATATTCTAAAAATTAATATACGAGAACTATATAAGACAAAAACTATTTAGTTATCACTAGTAAGAGTGAGTATATATGAAAAAACTTGTCCTCGCGGGAAGCATTTGATAATCTTTATCTAAGAAGCGGTATATATGTTTATGTTGGCCCTACACCGATTGGACACTATGGTTAAGTGGGTAGTTCGTCATCTCATGTTCCAAAAAATTCTCGTTGAAGTACTCTAACTCAACATTCGGGGTTGATATTTGATAAGACCATTAATGTATCATGATGCCATTTGGTCTCGACTCTAAGTTAACTTTTGAACATTATCGATCATATCCTGATGATCCATGCATTCCCTTATGAAACAAGGTTTACGAGTAAGGTAGAATTCATCAAGGTATATATTGGAATTCGAATGACAATTTGAATTACTTACCATTTACCAAACAATACCGACGATCTAAATTGCGGTTTATACTCTACTAGGAACGATTAGTATTAAATATTGATAAACTATGATTAGGTTGTTTTTGACAAACATGTGATGGATGTGGAGTACATGAACTTCAACTACCGTATTTGGCTCGACTAAATTAAAGTAGAGATCGATTTCAAAGTCTCTTAAATGTCCTCCAATTAACTAGTAAAAAGCTCACTTAGAAAACTATTATATAGTAATTTTTCTCTCAAGTCATATGCATCCCATTTCCCTCACTAATCACCCATTTGTCCATTCTTTTTAGTATCTAGGTTGTCAAGTTACATCCCTTGCGCGCAATCTAAGTATCTACTGAGATGATAAGAATGCCATCACTAATTAGATATACATATAATTAATTTAAACATAAGTAATCATAATTGAATAACCAAAAATGAATATAAAATAATGCTGGGTTTTAATAAGAAACCCGCTGATTCATCGTCTGATCAACATTATAAACACACAATCAAAGTCTAGCCGTCGCTTTATAATAATAAAATATATATATATATAATGTTTAACTATGTGATTCTACATGAAGTTTAGGAGATTAACTAAGCAATTGAGCTAATTCAGATACATGTCAACCTTCTTAACTGCACATGTTGCATGCATTTCAATTACATTAGATGTTGATATCTAATCTATGTGTTTGGGAGAGCGCTTCGTTGTTCAAGAAAAATACAAGTATATGATGTGTATATATTGGATGTCAATTCGAACCGATTTATTTTATCCGATCTGATATGTTTTATCTTATCTGTTTGACCTATTTTTTGCAGGTTATACCCGTCTCATAGACGGGACGGACATGAATACTCGTCTCGATATAACTTGTCCTGACCACCTCATTCTCTATCCATTTTACCTAAATTACATTTAAGTTTACTTTAAAGAAAACTACATATTTCGAATGATTTGACTCGATTAATCAATCATCATTTCGTTGCTAAGTTAACCATTTCACTCGACTCATTGTCATTCCTATTTCTCATCACAGTACTAATGATTTGATTTTGAAGAGGTGAAGCCCATTTGGTCCCGCTGATTGATATTTCAAGCCATAGGGATTGTATCATGATCATCGGGGAAAACAGCTCATTTTTGTATAGGTACGTAGCGGTCCCGATTAAATTAATATAGCTAGATTGAGATTTCTGTTTTGACAACTTGATGACAGTTGATAGGAAAGTTTGCAAATTGTGCCCCTTTTCTTTATTTAATGAGCTTGGTCGAGTAGTCTTCAAACTTGTTGTATTTGACAAGGATGTGGCTTTTATAAGTGATAATGTATTAAAGATAATAAAAAAAAAAAGTGAAGAAATTATTGTTTGATTGGCTGTAAATTCTTTTAGGTCAGAATTCTGATCATACACAGACAGATATTATAGCCTTACTAAACCTTAGCCTTAATTAAGTAGTCACATTTTCATAACTCGTGATTACTTATTAGAACTTGTATTTTTTTTTTTTTTAGCATTATCATTACCATATTGCATTAATGCGTTAGGTTCTCCATAGCTTTAGGCAAACTTTTCATCCGCCTCCTTGCAATCCAACGTTACTTAATTTAGTTATGCTCCCATTATAGGCCCCAATTGAAACCCATATTTAGACTCTCTCAATGCCTTTATAAAACTCCATTCACAAGTGGGATTAGATGGGGCTTAGCTCCCCACCTTAATTTACCCCCCTCGTGTGTTTTCTTTTCCGGGTCATTTTCGAACCGTTTTTCGTATTAGAAACAAACAACACAAGGTTTAACAAACGTATAGAAGTTTATAATTTTTTTTTGATAATGTCTCTGTAACGAAAAAGGAAAGCTAATTATTATTTGTTTTGTAGCCGTAGCTAGAAATTTATGTTACTTGATTTGAGTTTATAGGAAGAAGAATCATAGAGAGCATTAAGTCTATCAATCAACAGAGATGAGCATTTTGTTTCAAATATTCGTAAATATTAAGATTTGAACTCTAGGAATTTGCTAATTTTATCTTCTTAGGCTATCTCTAGGTCTACCCTCAAAGCTTACAAATCAGCACTTACGAGCTAGGTAGCGTAATCTTTATTTAGAAATAAGATTAAGAAACAGAGATAAGCCGGATTAGTTTTTTATTTGATAAGCAGGATTAGTTAAACGGTAAAATAATAGTCTAAACTATAATTAACTGGGAATTTCAGAATAAAATAAATAAATTTTTTGTTACTGCGAGACGACAGCGACGCGACAGGGCGCGCGTCTATAAATTGCCTGACCGAAGATCTCGCTGCCTAGAAAGTGGCAATCGAGTAACTTTTTCCTATTTTGTTCTTTCCCTTTCCATCATTAAATTTTCCCAAAATCCGTTTCCCTCTTTCTTCCTGAGAAAACATTTTCCCGATTGGTTTTCCAACCCTCCAAACAGCCTCTTAAGCAATCAATCCTCCTTTTCAATCCCCCCTTTTCCCCCTTCCCGCATTGCCTGCATCTCGTGAATCCTTGCAATTTGCAGAACAGTACAAGTCTCAACGGATTCGACACCGCCATCGATAGTCATCCGGTCTCGATTCTTCCACATCCTTTCTCCATCACGAGCTGAACATATGATCCACAATCGAACCACGAGGAGTTTGTGATTGATTAGGATCGACGATGACCGGCGGCGAGAGGAGGAGGGAGGCGGCGGCGACGGCGTCGGCTGCGGAGGAGGAGGAGGAGGAAGAGTTCGAAGTGCAGGATGTGAGGGAGAGATTAGGTTCTTCGATGGGGAGCAGATTCAATCTGATTGATCGGCAGTTCGGTTTGAGCAGGAGGAATGCCGGCGGCGGCGGAGGAGGGGGAGGGAGCGGCGGAGGATCCAGCACGAGCAAGTTCAGCCGTCAATCTCTCATTAATGGATTCCATTACGTCTCCAAAGGTCTCATCATCCATCCCGATAACAGGTCACTCTCTCTCTCTCTCTTCTCTCATTCTTCCCATTTTCGTCAATTTCCGTCAATATTTTGATCAATGATAAGTCGATTGCGATTTGCGAATCCGCCGGAGACGGTAAAAACAATTAAAAGTTAGCGGCGCGTGATGTGAAATATGGAAGATTGTCCTTAATTTTGTTTTCCCTGTAAGTTTTTAATTATTGTGGTTACTAAAATCAGCTTAGCAATTGACTGTTGTTGCACGTGTAGGTCATTCATTGGTCACACCGAGCATGATTAGGATTAGGACCTCCTTTCGTTTTTTTCTTCCTCTGAAATGAATTTAATGGAGAATTTAATCTGTTTACGGTATCATTTTCCAGTTCCTAGTTTTTTCATACTTTTTAATTATTAATGGTTGTTACATATTTCGCTAGTCGGCGGTTCCAGTTGAAAGAGGCCGCCATTCCCGCCATGTTAATTGTGGACGTGGCCTGCCTGGCCCATGTTTTAGTCTATTATTAGGTTTCGCATCGTCGTGGCGAAATCCCAGTTGCCAACCAATCTTTGTCGCTATTTCTTTGACTTCTCATCTTCCCCATGGGCCCTGGCCCAGTGGCCCGGGGCACCGATCACTTATCTTCTATTGCATTTCAGTCCCATGTCTACTGTAGTAGTAAAGTAGTAGTGATTTTCCCTTGGCCGTAGATCGGTAATCGGATACTAGCAAAGTTCCAGAAAAGCGTTTCAAGTTTTAACCCAAGATCATAGATTTGGTAGGGGGGGGGGGGGGGGGGGGGGGGAGAGTGAGAAACTCAACGAAAGTCAAGCGTTTTACAGTGGTTAGCGGACAATGTTTTACAATGGCAGAAGCAGCAGCTGTTCAACAAAGTTTTTGTGACATGTTTTAGTTTTTAATCTGAGGCCTCTGACTACCCTTTTTAAGCTTTCATTGAATTTGGCCTAACATAAAAACTTCCAAGAAAACCCACTTGTTCGTAGTTTCACCTTAATCCCTTGGTTCGAAAACTGTTAATGGTGCTCTTGCATGTGCTGGATAATGGATAGGAGAGCACGAGCAGGTTGACTTTTGGCTTTGACACTTGCTTATATTCTTTATGTATGTCCCCCATCTTTATTCCTAAAGGAAGTGTTTTTTTTTTTGCTGCAGGTGGTATCGTGCATGGTCGAAGTTCATTCTGCTGTGGGCAGTATACTCTTCATTCTTCACGCCCATGGAGTTCGGTTTCTTCAGGGGATTACCTGAGAACCTCTTCATTTTGGACATAGTAGGGCAGATTGCTTTCCTTTTCGACATTGTTCTGCAGTTCTTTATTTCCTACAGAGACCCACAAACTTATCGCATGGTCTATAAACGTTCACCAATTGCTCTCCGGTCAGTGTTTTTTCTTTCTACAAAGAACTCCTTTTTTATCCGATAATTCAAATTTACATTATATGTCATGTTAGTGTTTAAATTTTGCTAATTGGAATCCCTTGTTCTTAGTCTCGTTACAGGTATTTAAAGTCTCATTTTATCGTTGATTTGCTTGGTTGCATGCCTTGGGACATCATCTACCAGGTATTTGACTTGCTCTGTTCTCCTTGTTGTAGACATTTCATGTTTCAGCTACTTTGTGAGCTTGCTGTTTAGTGAAATTGGACAAAAATATTCTCATTGCCCATTCACCTTGGCGTGTAACTTGTCTGAGTTTCAAATTGATAACAAACACAAGTTTCATGAGATGTTTGCTTGTGTAGTGTTTCCTGCTTTAAAGGGTGTTGTGCCTTTATTGGCTTAATGGCATTTCTAGCTCAATTATGTAGTTTTATAAACACGTTTTTTACTATGACCTGTAAGTCTGTAACAACTGTGTTGTGTTTCATTTCAGTCCCTAGATTACTGACTTCATCCAACTAAGTTATAGGGGTAGAATCATGCTTAATAAGCACACTTTAAATGATTATCATTGTCATGTATGTTAAAAATTCACATCTTGCCTTTCAACTTGAATCTCATAAATACTCTCATTTAATGGAGTATTCGTCATTTGAGACTTGGGGAGGCCAAGATTTGTTAATAGGTCAGATTGAGGGGTGAGAAATAGATTTATGGTACAGTGGCATTTGAATCATCAAGAAAATACCTACTTAAATATAAGCAGCGAGAGCAAGTAAGTTAATCAACAAGGCCAGATTGAGAGGTGAGAAATAGATTTTTAGTATAGTGGCATGTGAATCATCAAGAACAAGAAAGTACTTACTAAATATGAGTCGATTCCATTAGCAAGGAATTTGGATGAATTTTTTTAATTTGGGACCAATGCATAAAGGTATTCTTCATAAAATTCATATACAAAAATGTACTTGTTAAAACAAAAGAGATAAATGTTGTCATTTATTCGTGTTCTTTTTCCATGCTCTTGGCGAAATTTTCTTTCTACAGGTTTCTGGGCGTAGGGAAGAAGTGAGGTATCTTTTGTGGATAAGGTTATGGCGGGTGCGGAGAGTTATAGAATTTTTCTACAAGATGGAGAAGGACATAAGGATTAATTATCTCTTCACTCGAATCATAAAGCTCATTGTAGTCGAGCTCTACTGTACACACACAGCAGCCTGCATATTTTACTATTTGGCCACTACTCTACCAGCTTCCAGTGAAGGCTACACATGGATTGGGAGTCTGAAGATGGGTGATTACAGTTATGCACAATTCAGAGACATTGATATCTGGACACGATACACAACATCTTTATATTTCGCCATTGTGACCATGGCTACAGTAGGTGAGCAGTCATCTCTCAACACACACACACAACTAAGCAGTCAATAACACATAAACAGTCTCTTGCTTATGTCCTGAGGTAATATGCTACAATCTAATGGCAGGGTACGGTGATATCCATGCTGTCAACTTGAGGGAGATGATATTCGTCATGATCTATGTATCGTTCGACATGATTCTCGGTGCTTACTTGATTGGCAACATGACCGCATTAATCGTGAAAGGATCCAAGACGGAGAAGTACAGGGACAAAATGACGGACCTCATCAAGTATATGAACAGGAATCAACTTGGAAGGGACATCCGTAACCAGATCACAGGCCATTTGAGGTTGCAGTATGAGCGTAGCTACACTGAGGCCTCTGTTCTTCAGGAAATTCCAATTTCCATCCGTGCTAAGGTAAGGACGTGCGAGTAAATCTTGATTGCTTTCTTTTCTCTTTGCAAAAGTGCCCCATTTTCTTGTTTTCTAAAGATTAGCTTCTTCCTTGCAGATCTCAGAAACTTTATACCTTCCCATCATTGAAAAAGTTGTCCTCTTTAATGGGTGCTCCACAGAATTTATCAATCAGATTGTAAGTCATCTGTGGTATCAGAGTTTCTCCAGCCTACAGACACATTCTACTCTATTCTAACATGTGTTCTATTCATATTTCAGGCTGTTAGGCTCCATGAAGAGTTTTTTCTTCCAGGAGAAATAATTTTGGAACAAGGAAGTGTTGTAGATCAGCTATACTTTGTTTGCCAGGGCGCCCTGGTATGGTGATTCCACTTTTAGTGCTACTTTACCTATATTCAAACATTAATGGCTACAACTTGAAAGACTTATTTCTTATGAGTCTTTGGTTTTGGTCTTCCATGGAGCAGGAGGAAGTTGGGATGGGAGAAGATGGATCAGAAGAAACCGTTTCACTACTGCAACCAAACAGCTCGTTTGGAGAAATCTCAATCATTTGCAACATTCCCCAACCTTACACAGTTCGAGTCTGTGAGCTATGCAGGCTCCTCAGACTAGACAAACAGTCCTTCTCGGACATACTTGAGATATTCTTCTACGATGGGCGTAAGATTTTGAACAACCTCCTACAGGTACATACATGAAGCTCTCAGTCTCTCTGCCATTTGTAATCTTATAGCTCGTTTTGGAACGGAAGGCGAAAAACTGTGTTTCAGGGGCGGAACTTTTTGTTGACAGGCAAAAGAAGCAACTCTGCGGGATAATAACCTTGAATCAGACATCACATTCCACATAGGGAAGCAAGAAGCTGAGCTTGCTTTGAGAGTCAATAGTGCGGCTTTCCATGGGGATCTCTTCCAGCTGAAGGGTTTCATTCGAGCTGGAGCTGATCCCAACAGAACTGATTATGATGGCAGATCACCGTTGGTACTGAAATCTGTTAACGCTTTGGCTTTTTTGGGTTTTGCATATAGCTTTGAACTTTTCTTTTTATGATTACCGTGATGACACTTATTTGCTTCTTTGGGAAACAGCATCTTGCAGCATCGAGGGGTTATGAAGACATGGCTAGCTTCCTCATAGGGAAGGGAGTTGATGTCGACGTAAAAGGTAACTTGATGTGACTAACATTGATTATGCTCTCAGTTCCAGACCCAATCGAATCAAACCTGGACTCTCGGTGGGACTGGGTTCGATGATATTTGTGATAAAATTTGGTTTCAGTATTCTAAAAACAAAGAATCAAACGGATCAAATGGAAATCAAACTGAATTAATGTGCTCTTTATGGTATTGTTCTCATCTTCTCCATTTCTTTATCAGTCCCTATGATTTTGGACCAGACTAAACCACCCCCTGATCATGGTTCCTTGTGGTCCAGTCATTCCAAAGTGCAACCGAAATTGGTAAAGGATTCAACCGAAAATGAAGGATATATGTTGAGCAAAATAAGGAAAGAGTGCACATTTGATTCCATTTGGTCCATTATAGTTTCTTTAATTTTGGGGGAAAGTTTCATACATTTGAATCAAGATCAAGTCGAATTAATTTTGACTTGTGCTAATCTGATTCATTAATCAATTAGGCCTGTTTCGATCAAGCCACAGTAACTGACTTGTGGATTCTATTTGATTCATGTATAGATTAGGCCTGGTTCAATCAAGCCACGGTGACTGACTTGTTGATTATGTTTGGTTTCCTGGATACATGTTCACAGATAAATTTGGGAACACGCCATTGATGGAAGCTATCAAAAGCGGGCATGATCGAGTTGCATCATTACTTGTCGAGAAAGGTGCCTCTCTGAACATAGACGATGCAGGTAGCTTCCTGTGCACGTCAGTTGTGAGAGGAGACTCTGATTTCCTCAAGAGGTTTTTGGCCTTCGGGGTTGATCCCAACTCAAAGGACTACGACCACCGAACTCCACTTCATGTAGCTGCCTCCGAAGGGCTCTACTTGATGGCCAAATTGCTGGTAGAGGCTGGAGCCAGTGTTTTCACAAAGGACAGGTAGCACTAATCATCTAATGCTTGTTATGCTATAAAGCAATGAAAAATGTTGATGGCTTACGGCTTGCCTCTTTGTAGGTGGGGAAACACGCCATTGGATGAAGGCCGGAAGTGTGGGAATAAAAATTTGATCAAGCTTTTGGACGGTGCTAAGACTGCACAGATGGCAGAAATGGGTGATAGCCCTCTGGGAACCAGAGGTAAGAGTCCACTAACAAAAAAGAATACGGAGTTGTTCCATGGAGCTACATGCATGTTAGTCTTCCCCATAATGAATAGTTATCTCAGTTAACTTGTGGGTTTCACTAATCAGCTTTACCGATAAGATATCGTGTGTTGATATGACTTGAATCGGATTATATGTCTGTCGGTGGACTATTTATACTTCTCAATCACCCTGTGATCTATATATCCTCAAGTATAGTGAAACGGGCTCTTTCGTACCAGTAGACTAGATAACACACATTGTGTTAGTGAACCATGTAAACCTTTATATTTTTTATTTTCTTTCATTGTCGATATCCCGACCCGTTCTAACACATAGAAATTATCTTCTCCTAATGCAACTTGAGCTCTAGCTTCTAACTATTTGTGCATCCCTCAATTTGTGACAGAAACACATCACTCAAGAAAATGCACGGTGTTCCCATTCCATCCATGGTGTCCTAAGGAGGAGAGGAAGAGAGTTGGTATACTATTATGGGTGCCAAAGTCCATTGAAGAGCTCATAAAAGCTGCAGCCGAGCAGCTGGAGTTTCAGAGCGAGGAAGATTCCTCTTCTTCTACTTGTGTTGTGACGGAGGATGGAGGCAGGATATTGGATGCGAATATGATTGACGATGGCCAGAAATTGTATCTAATCAATCAAACACGTTGAAGGACTCTGAGAATGAGACGAGAAATTTTGGGTTCGAGTAGAAATGTATACTGCTATACTATGCCGCTTCCACTATGTATGGTCAAAATGCTGGCCATTCTCAAGTCTATGTTAGAGGGTTAGGTGTGTGATTTAGCTTAGATTTTTGTACATATGTTGTGGTAAATAGCTCTCGAAAAGAATAAAAGAGTGGCAGGTGTGTGTTTGTCACTTGCAATGTTTTGTGTGTAAAAACTTGACAGAAAGATTGTACAAGAAGCGGAGGAAGAGTGTAATAGGGTCCCTGAATTCATTCGGAATTGAATGGAGAATGGGTAAATTAGGTGTTATAGCTAATTGACAGTTAAGTTTAAGGCGTGCTTAATTGAGGATGATTAATCTTACAAATGTTTTTACGTATGATTTACAAATTGTTTATTGATATATTCAAAATATTTGTAACGAGATGTGTATATATGACAATGATGTATATCATCCGCTCAAAATTAACATTGTACTTATTCAATAACAATAACAAAATTTTCAACAAATCATAGCTAATTTTTGTGAGGAAAATGTGTAAATCAGGTAATTAGTTGAGAATGATAATTAAGGCGCCTCTAATTGAGAATGGTTGGCTGAGAGGTCTTATGCTCAATTTTCGATGTATTTGTTGAGTACATGGTATTTGGATTTGTGTAAATTTCAAATCCATGTAAGTTTGCTTTCGTTTGATGGGGGCTTGAAGTAAATCGTGTAATATTCATTATTGAACGTCTCCCAACAACTCGAGTTGTTGACACTATATGGTTCTTGACAAAGAACACCATTCGAAAGCGAACGACTAACTAAATCATGAATAATTGTTTGGTACAAGAGAGTGATATTCTTGATAGTTTCGACCAACAACATATTTAAATTTACCATCCTTTTCCAAATATAAGGCTATACTAACCTGTACAAAAAAAAAAAATATTATTATACTATGTATGCTTGAAAGAGTTAGCAAAAATTATTTTATCATAAGTATTTTTTTTAACCCATCTTAGACAAAATTCTAACTCCACTCTTGATTGCGGTGAATTAGTTTAGGGTTTGATCATAGTGATTCAAAGCTTGGCCACCTCCACAAGCACCCTTCTGGTTTGTCCACAAGTGTCGTGCATAGTGTCTCCTCTCACAGTTTGGAAACATTTCATCAAGTGCTGGCAAGAGACCCTGAAGACAACAAACAAACACCAATCGTTAAACTTTATAAAATTATGAATCGCATAATAAAAATCAGAAACTAAATAGAGTTTTTACCTTTTGTTTGTCAGACATAAAAGTCCAACCAAGAGAGTCCATTATACTCAAGTCGTCCCTAACATTACCAAGGAACCATTCCCAATTTTCCTTGTTCTCCACTCCAACATGAGCAAATGCAACTGGGTAGTATTGGTCATTGGCATCCACACCAACTGCTGATAGTAGCTGCCCTCCATACTCGTGCTTCAAGAAGCAACCATCGACAATTAACACCTGTCTACATCTAGCCTTGAACCCCACCTTGGATGCCGCGAAACACACATACATCCTGTTGAAGCATTGTTCTCTCTGCTCAATGATAATCGTAGAGTTGGGATTGCTCCTCCTCAACTCTTCGGCATAATGATACAAGGACCTATACTGATCCTTCAAACTCCCACGAACCGCCTCAATTGTTGCATGTCGTATTCTCCAAGCCTTAGAGTTATTCACGTCTTCTTTGTAGTCTTCTTTCACAATGTGCTTCAGCAAGGCCCTTTTTATGTTCCTATCACATGCCATCTTCCTACTTAACTTGGAGCCGAGAAACTTTGCAGTTGCGTACTTGACCTTGAAGGTCTTCCTACAATCAGGTGAGTGCTCAACCTTGCACTTCTTGATTTGGACAGAATCTTCGGTGCTCATCTTCGAAGTCCAAATGTACCAATCACATGGAGGATCGCACACTACTTGCAGCCGCTGTCCATCATTCTTTTTAAAGCGAACTGACCTCTTCTCGACGAAAGCATGTTGTTTTATTGCATCTTTTAGGACTCTAAAGCTGCTAAACTTCTAGGAAGCAGCAAAGGTAGGCATCTCCATGTCTCGATCAACCCGGAATTCATGAGATTGGTCTCCTTCATCCGAGTCTGAGCTTACAATGCTCCTACGATCATCAGAGTCTGGATAATCAGGCCCTTCCCTTTGTAGTTCAGGCTGCTCATCATCCATTTCAAAGATACCCATGTCGGCTTCCACCTCTTGAGTGATATTTACTGCAAATTGTGCATTGTCCCTTGAACTATCTTCTTCTGAATCCTCCAAATAGTCGCTGTCTTCATCCTCATGATAGTCAGAATCACCTAACAGATCATCTCCAACAACATTTTTCCCCTTTCTTCCCAAACTGGCAGCCTCCATTTCTTTAACTTCACTATCCAAGAGATCTTCAAGATCATTAACTGAGAAAGCATACAGCTCGATGACTATTCCCTCGCCGTTGGCCGCTATTGACATGCTCAGAATATCTTCATCATTGACAATCTCGGACATTGCATCGTTGCAAGGATCTTTCCAGAAGAACTTCGGATCTTTAATCTTCCCACCACACGCCGCATATATGCCAGGAAGGTCGAGCACTGAAAGTTCATCAATGTCCGCATAGTCCCAAAACACGGTGGAGGTTTCATTGAGGAAATGCTTGCCGCTAACCTCTTTCACTTCATGGGACACATGAACTGCAAAGGTGAACTCTCCACTGGAAGTAGTTGTTTGGTAAAAAAAAAGCAATTGAAAGGAGTTAATTTCAAAGGAAATGAGCAGTTATGGAGCAGCAGGTAAGTAGGTGGTCCTGTCCCACCATTTTCTATTAAAAGACAGAATAAGTCAAACCCTAAGACTGCATTTTTCGTCATTCCCACAGAATCCTGAATTTTTCTATTCCAATTCTACCCAAAGTGATGTCCTCATCTTTAGTAAATGCCAACTGTGGAAAAAGACAACCCAGACCACCCATCTACCATCAAAACCAGCCATCTACCATAATGACAAAGGCGAAAACGACAGGAGACTTACCATAGTTAGGCTGAGTTTCATTTGGAGCCCGCACATGCCCCACCATGCTTCCTTCGGTGAAATGGTGACCTGGAAAACCAACAACAGCATGCAATTTAGTATTAAAGAAAGCTAAAAGTGAACCTCCCAAAAGCCATAACACACACTCAATGCTTTCCTCTGCCCCATATTCTTTTCTCTTTTCAGTCTTTCCAGACAGGGCTCGAATAAACAAAGAAAAGGCAGAACCTCACCTTTGGGGTTTTGTTGACTGCTCAGAAAGAGGGAGGAGAATCGAATAAACAATGCGAACTGGCCTCATTGTCAGAGAGCGGAGGAGAATCAAAGCCTCGATTTAGGGTTTGGGTTGACTGTTCAGAAAGGGGGAAGTCAGGCGCGCGCGATGGAGAAGAAAATGGGAAGAGAGTTCGCACTGGGTATTGAGAAAGGAGTCAAGGCAAGTGCGTGGTGGACTCCATTCCTCCTTCGTCGTCGGTGAATTGACGATCAGAGTTGGAGAGGGAGAATAACGAAAGGGAGGAAGGCGGCGCGGGATGGAGGCAGATGGATTTGTCTTCGATTAGGTTTTTAGTCAAAGGTGGGTAGATTAATTGGTGGGTCGGGTCAGTTCTTTATTTAGGGGTCGGGTCTGGTCTGGTTTGGTTAGAGGTTTGGTTAGGTTTGGCTGACATGGAGGGTTTAAATGACGTGGCGGGTCGGGTCAGTCAATTTTCGGGTTAAAAGGTGATGATTAGGCGAATCCGTCAGCCACGTCATCACTTAACGGACGCCGTTAACGGCGTTGGACTGCACCTAACAGAGAGTGGCCATAAATGAACGGTTTTTGTAAAGTTAGTGACCAAAAATGGATTTAAATATTTCGAGTGACCAAACATGAACGCTTTTTGTAATGTCAGTGACCAACCATGCAATTAACCCAAAACATCAAATTCAAACTAAAATGTCAACCAAACTATCCTTGAATATTTTGGTCGTCATTCTTGTTCGTATAACAAAAAGTAAGACTCGCTTTAATTTCTCCTTCTCTATCCACCTCCCGCTTAACTCCCTTCAAATTCTTCCCATATCTCCTTATGTTCATCCATTTGAAACCTAATTAATAACCAAATGTTTACCGAAATAGATTTTGATACATCTAGCTCTTCCCGAACATCGAATTATGAACAACAATGTCAACCAAACTATCCTTAAATATTTTGGTCGTCATTCTTGTTCGTATAACAAAAAGCAAGACCCGCTTTAATCTCTCCTTCTCTGCCTACCTCCCGCTTAACTCCCTTCAAATTCATCTCATCTCTCCCTATGTTCATCCATTTGAAACCTAATTAATAACCAAAATTTTACCGAAATAGATTTTGATACATCTAACTCGTCCCGAATATCCCTCGATGTTCATCCCATCTTAGACCTTTGATCCCCCGCAGGAACAACATTCAATGTTCTGTTTTCTTACCCTTGAAGGAAAAACACAAAAAAACTCTTGAATAGCATATTCTTCTTACTTTTTTTTATTCATACCCTTCAACAATCCTAAAAACTTTACGTTCACGATTGTTTGATCATCAAACAATCTACTCAAAAAAAGTATATCCATGAAAGAAAATATGGAAGATGATCAAAATCAAGAAATTATTACTTCTTGTACATGATCATTGTTATTATCATCATCACCACGACTATACACATTCTCTCATCATCTCTTTTTACTCTCGTGGAATACCTTTTGTTCATCAAATCGATTCATTGGAATTCAAATTTAGTCCTCCTCCCTTGTTTTTCCTTCTTACCATTTTTCTTTTGGTATATGTACTTGTACCAATGCCTGTGGGCGACCCAGGTTCAGGCCAATTCTACATATGGATCATATCAATTGTCTTGTTCATGGCCGTGACACTCGGCGGGAGCTTCCTCATAATGTATCTGATCCTTCCACCCACCCCTTCAACGGAATGGCTTCCCGTCGCCGGGGTCTCCCTCGTTTGCCTGCCTTGGGGATTTTGGTTCGTCACTTGCGTCTATCGTGTCCTATCTCGTACATTTGGGTTTAGGGTAGTCATTGGTGGTGGTGGAGGAGGGGGAGGCAACGAAAATAATATCGACAATATCGGCATTAGCGGTAGTGGGTCGGAATCGTCTAAAGATCTTATGGGAGATTCGAAAGAGGAGGCGGACGACCCAAACAAAAATCATCAGTTTGTCGGAAACGTGGGAGAAAATGACGAAAATGATAAGGAAGGTGGTCACGGAATCAAGCGAACTTCGAGTTCTGCCAATGGTGGTGTTGTTGGTTCCAACGAAAGTGAAATGCCATTGACATCTGGTGTTAAATCTTGATGTTACATAATATAGGTTCTTTAAAATCCTTTTGTATGATGTAACGTTGTTTTGTTTCCACCTTTTGGGTTGTGTCATGTAATTTGATATGCCATGATCTCTTGTTTTCTATTCATAAAGTTATTGTCTAGTCCTAGTTTAGAGCTTATAGTGTTGACTGTTGAGCACATATAAAAGGACATATTATTTTTAAGATTAGTAGATATTAATTTACTTTGTATATTGTTTGTTTTAATACTAGTCTGATTCTATTTTGCATAGCCTTTTTGGTTTTCTTATTCTATTTTGCTCACATCCTCAAGTTGGACATTCACAACTAGCTAGCGTACTTATTCTTATTGAATCTAGACTAACTAAAATGTAAATTAGGCGATTCGAGGTTATCTTTCTACCAAAAGAAGGCGAAATGTCAAAATATTGGACTTAAATAGTAGTAAAAATTAATTCAGAGGACTAATGTGTAACTGCACATCCTTTCTCCGTCCAATATATATTCTTGAATGCCTGGCAACGGGCAACCAAGTCATACCGACTCCCGATGTTTCCCAAAATTTTCGAATTGAATTTCAAATAGACGCTGCCCAAGCGGGAACAGAGAAACCATTCCCCTCCTCTCTCTCTCTCTCTCTCTCTCTCCTCCGCCAAAACTTCTGCACAGCATCCCTTCAATCGGCGGGAGGTAGCTCACCGGAGCAGAAATGGCGGATGGTCTCAAGAAATCTCATCGGAAGCATCCGGTGAGTCTCAACGACAGTCACTACCGTCTCCTCCAAGACCTTTCCGCTCCTCCGAAGCAAATCTCTTCCTCCTCGGCTATACCAGTTCCAGGTATCCGTTTTCTCTCAACTTCTTGTTGCAATCGCATGTTCTCGCTATTGTTCCTTCTCATATTCATCTCGAGTTTAATTATGTTTTATGTGGAAGTTTATGCAGACGAACTGCAAGCGACGAAGAAAATGGAAGGACGACGTCGTCTCGTCAAACCGCAAACGGAGGATAGCGGACGTATCCCGCTGTTCTCCGGCGTTACCGATTTCGATTCTTCTCCAGTTTCCGGTACTTACTGCTACTCTATTTCTCTTTATATATGGCTGAGTTGTTTCAATCCTCTTTTCCCCCCCTTTTCTGTCCAGTTTTAGGGCTCCGTTTCTCATTTCTCCGAAAATCGCATCGTTTGGTTAGGTTTCCATGACGCTAACGAGCAGCTGCCGGCGAATAACGATCGCGACGATGATAATATCCCTTCGTTCTCTGGCATTGCTGATTTTGATTCTCCTGCTGTTTCTGGTAAGTAGCATTCATTTGTTTGTAGCTGAGTTAGAGAGTTTTGGCGCTTGTTGTTGTTGTTGTTGTTGTTTGTGTGGTTCCTTTGATTACTGTAGGTGCGCTAGGTTTTCAGAAAATTTCTAGGGATCACAGAAGCTTAGTAGCTTTGACTTGTATGCTGATTACCTTGTGTTTTGGACTTTTCTCTCTGTGCAATGTATGGCAGAAAAAGAAAAGCAGAACAAGGTTAAGATTGAAGGTCGGAGGAGATTGTGCAAAGTTTCCCAGCAGGAGAAGGAAAATGTTGAAAATGAAGCAGAGGTGGATGATCAACCTTCATTTGCTGGGATTACAGATTTTGATTCACCGCTACCGTCTCGAAGTAAGGATGAAAATGGTGGTGATCTCGATGGTGGCAGTGATATCAGGGATATTCTGAACAACCTGAGCTCAAGGCTTGATCTACTGTCAATCGAAAAACCAAAGGAACCAGGAAGATTTGGCAGCTTGGCCCATATGAGACCTGAGTCATCTCATTATGGAGCATCTGAAGTATCAAAGGTTACTTTGGATGAAGGTAAGGAGGAAAGTGGTTTGTTCAACTGGCGTGGAGATGATCATTCTGTTAAAAAGGTAGATGAGACCAAGGAAACTCAAATGATTCAAAAGAAGACTTATGCTGGTAGGACTGAGAAGACTTTCGAGTTTGAAGATGAAGAGGAAAGTGATCGCATGGTTCAGCCTTTTAAGTTTGCAGCTAAGGCTCAGAACAGCAAGAAGAGTAGTCATCCCGTGTCAAAAAATGATACCGCAGCTGGGAATGAAAGATTGCGGTACGCAGGACGCTCTTTCATGGGTAATCTTAGGGAAGAAGAAGAGGATGATGAAGATGACTGTGTAGTTCTGAATACTAAAAAGGCGCCCGAAGAATTCCGGAGACATGATAATCGAGTGAAGCCATCCAATTACTCTATATTGACTGATCTAGTCGACGATAAGTCTGGTGAAAGTGCTCCGGAAGATGAAGGAGCCATTGTTTTGAATGGCCCACGTTCTACATACAGACTATCTGGAAAACTCTCGCGTATGTTATATCCACATCAGCGTGAAGGATTAAGGTGGTTGTGGTCATTGCATTGCCAGGGTAAAGGTGGAATTCTGGGAGATGACATGGGATTAGGAAAAACAATGCAGGTAATGGAGTTTGTTAAAGTGTCATTAAGCTGTTTTGTTTTTTGTGTTGCTGATGAATGATCTCTTGTGTTTATTTCTTCCTTCAAGATATGTGGCTTTCTTGCTGGACTTTTTCATTCAAGACTGATCAAACGAGCAATGGTAGTTGCTCCTAAGACACTGCTTGATCATTGGATCAAAGAACTGTCTATTGTCGGCCTCTCAAAAGAGACTAGAGAGTGAGATATTGATATCATCACAGATTTAGTTATGTTATTGGGAAGTGATGATTTTTTTGTTTGCTGATCATATTCTTCTAACTTCAATGCAGATACTATGGGACATCTACAAGAGCTCGTGAATATGACTTGCAACATGTGCTTCAGGTTTTATTTTCTCTGCTCAATAGTTGATTCACTAAATCAAAATGGTCAACTAGTCAAAGTACACGATCCTACATTTTAGATCAATCCCTGATTTACAGTAGCCTTAAGCAAACATAAGGCAATATCATTAACTTTTCTAGACTTTATGGGGGTTGATTGCATAAAAATGTAATAGAGACCATGTGAATGCGGGTTAAGTTTTCGTGTCATTTGCTTCTATAGCAGACTTGGTTTGCATTAGAATTCTGGAAACTGTGCTGTTGATTCTTTCTGTCCCTATCTGGTTTCAGATCCCCAGGAAATGTTGGACTTAGTTTACAGATTAACTAGTGGGTTATTATTGTTATTTTATTGTAGGACAAGGGTATTCTTCTCACAACGTACGATATTGTTCGCAACAACTCGAAGGCATTGCAAGGGAGAGGTTTATTGGTTGATGATGAAAGTGAGGATGGATACTTGTGGGACTATATGATCCTCGACGAGGTAGATTCTGAGTACCTCTTTTAGAACTTGTTTTGTACGTTATTGATACTTTTTTTTACGCTAATTTCATTATGCATTCTCTGATTTACATATCTGCAGGGTCATTTGATTAAAAATCCTAGTACCCAGAGGGCAAAAAGTTTGCTTGAGATACCGAGTGCTCAACGTATAGTCATTAGTGGCACACCTATTCAAAACAATCTCAAGGTATTGTGTTTAAGCTAGACTCATTTACTGTCATTTGAATTAATCCAAAGTATGTGACATTTTTGTTTACTTGTCAAAGGAACTGTGGGCTCTATTCCACTTCTGCTGCCCTGATCTACTTGGCGACAAGAAATGGTACTTGCAACATCACAGTTTTGTTGTTTGTACGATTTTGGCGACGACCTTTGTTTGATATTGTATTTATTCAGGTTTAAGGAAAAATATGAGGATGCTATACTTCGTGGCAATGACAAGAATGCTTCTGACCGGGAGAAGCATATTGGTTCGAAAGTTGCTAAGGTGAGGAAATGATGTATTTCTAGAACAGGTCATGCATATGTTCTTTCTTAGTATGAAAAATAAATCCCCTATGAGTCACAAATGATGCTTTTATTAGCTTTTGTATTCAATGCATATGACGTTCTGAAACTCGGTTCTGTATCTACTTATTACTTTAAAGCTGAGTAGTGCCACAGTTAGATGTGTTGCAAGTATCTTGCAGTTCAGCTGATAACTATGTATTTGACCAAACAGGAACTTAGGGAACGGATTCAACCTTATTTCTTGCGCCGCTTAAAGAGCGAAGTCTTCAAGGGAGACGACAATGAAACTGCTAAACTCTCCAAGAAAAATGAGATCATTGTGTGGCTAAAGTTGACTAATTGTCAGGTGGGTTGGTACAGTTTCGAAATGCTGTAGTCCATGTACATTGTTACTATTAGGAAATTGTTTCTAACATATAGTATTACTTGTATGGTGCAGCGGCAACTTTATGAAGCATTTTTGAAGAGTGAAATTGTCCTTTCAGCTTTTGATGGGTCTCCATTAGCTGCTTTGACGGTGCTTATTATTCTGACTCTATCTTCTCTTGGTTTATTTATGAAAAATATAGTAATGTATTCTTTGTGAAATAACTTAAATCCCTTGTGTGCAAAATAATTCCAATGCCTTGTGTTTGAAATAATTTCAATACCTTAGCATCCCACAAGTAATATCTTAAGTCTTATTCACTTGTTGATTCTGGGACTTCTTGTCAGTTATATCCATGGATATATCTCTACATTTTGTAGCTTAATTTTTAACTTTCAGAACTCGGTGTTCTTGACATCTACAGTCTGCATTTTCTAATAATGATAATCTGCTTGGAGCAGATTCTGAAGAAAATATGTGATCATCCCCTTCTCTTGACAAAGCGTGCCGCTGAGGATGTGTTGGAAGGAATGGAGGGGGTGCTAAACCCTGAAGATGCTGGCTTAGCTGAAAGATTGGCAATGCATGTGGCGGATATTGCAGAGAGGAATGAGTTTCAAGAGGAACATGACAATATTTCGTGCAAGATATCTTTCATCATGTCATTATTGGTTAGTTTGTACTTAAACACATTGAATTTCGGAGCATCAAAGTTAGTTGGCTCATGAATACTTTGCTTGTCTGTAGGATGATCTCATTGCTAAGGGTCACCGCGTGCTCATCTTTTCCCAGACACGGAAAATGCTAAATCTTATCCAGGTTTCTCTAAAACTTTCATGCTGCTGATTTTGTTTGAGTGCATATTTTTCCAATCTTGGAACTCTGTCTCTCTATTGATGCTGTGTTTTGGAGTCAAAAGTATCCATCTCTTGTTTTGGGTTCCTTATTGGTGCATCAACTAGTTCATTCTATAGGGTGGGCAAGGGAATCAATTTTGATTTACTAATGTTTAATATTGTTCTGTGCACCTCAAGTTTGTCATTTCTTCCTTAAGAACAGTTTATGATAGGTTTTTGTTATCTCAGGATTCCATAGCCTCCGGTGGTTACACCTACTTGAGGATTGATGGCACCACAAAGTCTACTGATAGAGTGAAGATTGTGAATGTAAGTTTCGTTTTTATTTCAGAGAACATCACTGTATTCATGAATCTAATTTCATATATGAACTTTTCATCTTTACCTAGGACTTTCAAGAAGGAATTGGAGCTCCTATATTCCTCCTAACATCTCAAGTTGGAGGTCTTGGTCTCACTCTGACTAAAGCGGATCGTGTTATTGTTGCAGATCCTGCTTGGAATCCAAGGTTTTCTCATTTGAATCTATTATTTCCTTATTTCACTTGTTAAGGGTAGATTAGTGCTTAACCTTGCAAGGTTAAGCAAGAATGGAATGTGCTCTGGTTTTCTTGGGAGTGTTGTTAAAGAAGTGTGTAAACTTTGGAATCTTTCATTCTATATTTTTCACAGCACGGACAATCAAAGTGTTGATCGAGCATATAGAATTGGTCAGACTAAGGATGTCATTGTTTACCGACTAATGACTTGTGGGACTGTTGAGGAGAAGATATACAGAAAGCAGGTATAATTTGTGCTGTCATTTTCTCAATGAAACTGGAAATATCCATTCATATCTGTTAGTTCAGAGCTTGACTGTCTTGTTGGTTTCTGTTAATCGTTTTGGGTTAACTATTTCGGTCAATAGTTACAAACCCACCAAAATCTTGGCTCGGCGGTTTGGTTAAAGATTCAATTATGGTTTCATTTATTGGCTCCTCTGAAAGAATGTAGTTCAGTTAGCTGTGTGGACCTGTTTGGCCACCCTTTAGTACAAACTGGAAACTTTTGCATGATCAGTTGTTTGCTTTGAATCCAAGGTTTATTTTCCCCCTTGGCTTATGTTGGTATTAATTCTTGGCATTTCATGAAAATTTTGAATGATAGATGCCAGAATTGATCTTTTATTCCTTCCAATGTAATGGTTTTAGATTTACAAGGGTGGCCTATTCAAAACAGCAACCGAGCAAAAAGAGCAAATTCGCTACTTCTGTCAGCAGGTCAGTCTTCTCAACCTCTTAAGACGTGTAGTTTAGTTTAGTTAAGCTCCTTGGTTCGACCATTTTCTGTTAAAATTTCAAGTGATGATTCTTTTATAGGATCTTCGAGAGCTGTTCAGCCTACCGAAGCATGGATTTGACGTCTCCCTCACACAGCAACAGTTGCATGAAGAACATGACAAGCAACACATAATGTAAGTGAATGAAAACTCTTAACCTCCCTTCGATTTTCAGTAAACCTTTTTGCCTTGCTGAGAGTTATTCATCAATGTTTGGTTTTATGGCCTTAAGGGATGAAGCTCTGGAAGCCCACATAAAGTTCTTGGAGACAAAGGGCATAGCAGGAGTTAGCCACCACAGCTTGCTTTTCTCCAAGGCAGCACCTCCTGTACAAGTTCCAGATGACGACGATAGAGATGCAAGGTAAAATTAGATCTCGGTTTAGTTTGATTCTTCTTTGTTTACAAGACACGTTTGAGTTGTTTTGCTATGGCACTAGTTTCATGAAATATCTCTTTTCTTTATAGGGTGAGAGCTGCTGTGTACATGGGGGATCCGTCGAGGATGGTTTCACAAGAACGAGGTGTTGATGGGTATGGATGATATTGTTTGTTTGTGATTTATTACCATACTTGGGAGCAATCCATTGTGCATTGTTAACTGAAACAAGTTTCGCCTCAAATGTTAATCTTTAATGACAGGGCTGCCTATGCCATCAGACCACAGGATGTAAACAAACACGTGAAAAGCTCTTCCCCGGATAGTTTGGGGAAGCTGACGGAGTCTGATATCAAAGCCCGGATCAATAGACTCTCTGTATTGCTTGGAAATCGGGTATGTGATGCATATTAGTACTTAGTCATTATTATTGTTATTTTGTTTAGTGATTTTCTGGTTGACAGTTTGGGATATTTGTGTTTTAATAATTAATTGTTGTGTCAGTTTTGGTTATTGTGTTTATTATTAAGTTACCAAGTCGTTGTAGGATTAGTGAATAAGAATCCAGTTTATAGGGTAGAAGTGATGTAAATTTCGTAAATGCATGCATTCATATGTAAGTGTAACAAATGAGTCTTTTGTTTGGATTAGTTGATGGCGATAATTTCTAGTGTCTAAAAATGTGTGTTTTCAAGTAATGTGCCGAAAAATGAAATGTTGTATTGTATCGAATGCATGTATCTTCGAATTACATGTGTTTCCCAAGTTGACGAGGTCATGTGTGGTAGCTTTTTTTTGTTGTTGTTGTTGCTCATGGTGGAATTATTTTGCAGAATATGGTGTCTGGTCTGCCTGATAAAGGGGAGAAGCTTCGGAAGCAGATATGGGAGTTGAACAAGGAACTCGATAAGGTGCGGATGGAGAAACAAGCCGAGAAACTCGAAGAGGTCATCGACTTGGATGACTTAACTGAAGGGCTTCAGAGGTCTTCAATCTCTAAAAAGGGCAACTTCTTTAGCTAATAATATATTTTAGCGGGTAGGAAATTCCTTCTCCCTCGCCCTCCCTGTTACCCTTGATGTTTGCACCAGCTTAGTGCAAATAGCACTTCTTCCCATCTGTTTTGAAAAATTGGAGGAACAGTATTTTGAATTATGAACCTGCATTATGTACTACCATCAACTTCCGTTGAATCATCCAATGTCAAATCTCCGATAACCTCTGCCACCAAAATAGCAAGGGTGGCTTTGCCGTCATTGATTGCCTTGGCCTCGTCCCACCATTGTCTAGCCATGCTTGGTTGTTGCGATGCCAAACATCGTCGATGTTGCTTCCAGCCATCTTGAAGGGGGAAGAAATGATGTGTCGTTGGTGTTGCCAAACCCATTGTTGAGTTGCTACAGCCACAAATGGGAGCCCTAGCCGCGTTGGTGGAGGACAAGGGCGACAGAGCAACTGTTGTCCTTGATATCACATCAGGAATCCAAGTCGAAGCAGGAAAAGAGACAAAGCCAACTTCGACATCTGTATTTTGATTTCCAAACATTTTGGAAATAGAACCATATGACGCATCAGCTGGTATAGTTTACACATGAACATGCATTCCTGAACGCAACATGCTATGGAAGACATTAGTGTTATCAATATCATAATGGTCAGGAAATGACTTCTGAGTCACGCGCTACAATACAAGCATCCTACTCGAGCAACCAATAATACTTCAATCTTCCACTTCTTTGCATCTCCACCAACTATCGTTTGGCGGAAGTTAATACAGCTGCCTTAATTCTTGCAAGTAGTCATTGACAGAGGCAAACTGAAACATCAGGTCACCACTCACCACATGACAGGGAATATAAGCCAGCTGATCTTGCTTTCCAGGGAGAATAGGGAAGAGAACCTCTTTCATTTGGCACTCCCTAACTTCTTCATTATGCCCATTCCCTGCCTCAGTTCCCAGCTGCTGTGTCATTTCTTAACTGCTCTGCTTGTGGGGGAAGAAGAAGAGCCAACCTAGTTTTGTACCTTGCGATTCTACTCAACCGTTCTTCCCTTAATCTACACAACACACACACACATAACCTTGTCGTTATTTGCACAAGCACCAGACCAAATAGCTAGAATATCATCCCTTGTCAGGGTGAGATCATAATAGTCAGCCCAAGGAAGGCATTCTGAGGAAACATGTACCAAGATCTGATACCCTTACCTTGCTCGAACCTTTTTTGCATGCTTGATGTGCCTCTTTAGCAAATCTTGCGCTGATAAATGTTCAACAGTTTCTTCAGCCTGCAAAAAAAGAAGCTTGACTTCATCTACTTATACATATCTGTTTCAGTGGAAGATACTAAGAATTGAATCAGCTAAGACAGATAGTTTACTGCAAATACAAACAAGATAACAAGCACACAACAAGTTGCATAACAGAAGGAACAAAACTTGAAGAGGCACACATTCTGACAATTATCAATAAACATGCATGAAAGGAGAATAAATCTGACCTGGTCAGTGTCTTCTCCTTCATCTTCCTTACTTGGCGAAGTGCTGTCCACCACAGGTAATGGCAAGGGTCTGGGGAGAGTCTTTGCACCTTCGCTATAGGGTGTCTGCTTAGTATACACATTAACAAAGAAAAAGTTAGAAAAGAATCGCTGGACAGCAAGATAGACAGCTTGAAAAAATGACATTGAAAATGATCACCATCAGGGAAAGAACAACCAGCAATTCTCACCCCTGAAAGCCCTCCTGGCCCTTAATATCTAAGTGAGTTAACTCCAAGGTATTGGTCTAGTGGTAAAAAATGATGGGAGATGAAGAGTACCCAACTGACAGCATCCAAATTGTGGTGCCAACATCACCAATTTTCAAAAACACCTCATTGACTCATGGAATTTCTTACTTCCCATTTTCACAATTGTGCCTCTTCTTTTCTGTAACTTCACCCTGTTCATGCTACTTCACCAAGATTAAGAAATGCATTGATGTCTACCAATCCCATAGAGCAGCGACATCATTATGATGACAGTGATTTGTGCTGGAGAAAAAACTATCATATTTTTTGTTCTCCTATATCCTGTTTGTACAAGTTCATTTGTTTCTCTTTCATAATCCCTATTGCTCGTGCTTCTTAACTTGGTTCATCAACCAGTATTACACGCTTCTACGAAATTAGGTACTATGTACTACAAGTAGTGCTGCAAGACAAACAGTCACTCAATAACCATCCGTGGTTACCCAATTTACAACATGACAGTGAAGTCAGAAACTTAATAAAGAGTGACAAGGAAGAGGAAATGAGTTCAATAACCACATGCTGTGGCAGTTCCAACATCATTGTAGTTGAAGTCAGAAATGTAAGGAGCTATGAGATAGAGAGGAGTTCAAGAACCAGACTGACAGAATTCCCTATCAAGTCCTAGACCAAACAGCAATACCAGAAAGCAATGTTTCTACTATAAAGTGAAAGCCAATATAAGTTCCCCAATCGAGTTCTGTTTGTATTTTAGCTGAAGAACTAACTTCAGATTTGAGTGACTGAGCTCTTGAAATGCACAGCAGCAGGACTCAATGACATGAAAAGCTCGGCCTCAAGATAAAATCCCTCCCACACCCACACCCACACCGACATGAGCGACGACAAAGCTATATAGTCTAGTCACAACAAGTTCAAACACAAATCTCTTTAACAAATGTTACAAACCTGGCTTTCCTCAGCAACACCGTTTCTCAACCATGATCGACAGAGTGCATAAAGAGAAGCTCCACCAGATACTCTTACCTACAAGCATAAATCAATGAAATTGTTATCGCTAAGATTAGTGTTTCGGAACAGCAATAAAGTGTGGAAACAGTGTGATAATACATCACTATTCACAATGAACGCATCTAAGCATGCCAAACCATCTTTTCAGAATCGGAACAAGTCAACAACAAATGTCAATTATACGGGAGAGGGGCTTAATTAAGATGGATGAAAGTATGAAGAGAAGCTTACTTTTCGATCTCTAACTACAATGACAGCATCATCCGTTACGTCCCTGCATAAAGAACAAGAGTAGCATGATCAAAGTTAGTGGTGTGCAAATGCAATGAATTCTTGATTACTACACCTAAGATGATAACGCTGCGCCAATTTGACCTCGTATTTTTGTAGCCACTAGAATCAGAAACTGGGGAAGGAGATGGGGCAACCTAAGAGAGAGAAGAGAGTGAAAAGTTAGAACACTGTCATCGGCTGGAGAAACAGAAGCCCTAGAACAGCAGGAAAAAAAAAGGGCAAAAAGCCAATGGAAGTTACCATGAGTTGGCAAGGAAGGGGGATTCCCTTGATAGCGGGAGGAGAAGGAACGAGGGTATGGAGAGGGTTGGGAATGGAAGGCGGCTGCCTGGAGAGAGCTGGATATTGAGGGTGAGAGAGCAAGGGAGATGGAGAGGCTGGCCTGTAACTAAGGGCGGAGGAAGAGGGATTGAAGGTCCCGCGAAGAAGAAGAGTAGTAGTAGTGGGAGTGGTGTTATTAGAGAGGGGAAAGCTGTGATCGGAGGAGGGGCGGAGAGTGCCCGGAACGAAGCCGCGGCCGGAGGAAGCAAGAGGGTATACGATGCCGTTTTGGGCAGGCGGCGGGGGACTGGAGATGGGAATCTGGGTTTGGGATCTGGGAGGGAGGTTTTGGCAGTTGCTGTTGTTAAGGTAGTACTGCTGCTGCTGCTGGTAAACTGGGGACGGAGATGGATGCGAGGGTTGGGGTCTTCCGGCAGCCGGTTGAGCGGAGGCGGTGTTGTTCGGACTGGATGCCATAGTTGTATCTTGGGGAGGGAGAGAGAGGGATTCTATTTCTTTCTGGCGGGGAATTGGGCGTTCCGTTCAGCTTTTTTGTTCTATTCCTTTCCTTGTCCCGTGTAGGAATGAATTTCTCATTTTGAAAAATGAAAATTACTTGCTTATTAGAAACCAGCAGATTTTTTCAAAAAAGAAAAAAAAAACAGCAGATAATTAATCATGATCCCTAGTTAATTGGACTCACTTGGGCCGTGTGGTACTTTAATTTGAAGGGGCCGGGGAAAAGATAGAGGGGGAGCCCAATTGGAATATTTACAGTAGAGAGAAGCCCAATCAATCACTTGGGCCCGCTTCCTCACGTTGGCCTCCCTTCAAATTCCTTTGGCGATGTCTGCGAGTATCTGGATGTAGAATCGCCTCTTCATTCTCGTTTTTGAGGAGACTAGGCCATGGAGAACGCTGATGTTTCTTCCCTGCTCCCCATTTGGGGTTCTTAGATCTATGATGCATCTCTTTCTACAAAACCATATGGAGTCTTGTTGGATGAGACTACTTTGATGAAAGTATGATAGGTTGCGATTCTAAGGCGTGGAAGAGGACAAAGACACTTCATGTGGGTGAATCCAAGGGGGCTTGGGTTCCGATGGAGGGCTTCTTCTATTCCTCTCGCGGCTGCTCGAGGGAGTAGATCGTCTAACCATGCTCGACCAAAGTATCCATAAATTAATCAGTGCATTTACCCAAACTAATGTACAACAAGGACCCTTAGAATTTCTCCCTTGCAACATTATGTCGTTTGACTGAATGACGTTCAATCGAATAGGATCGACACTTCTAGTCATAATCCTAAGAAACTTGGATTTCTATCCTCGCACTGCGAAGGAGTCCAAGGTCCCTAAAAAAAATATATATATAAATAAATAAATATTTAATAAATATAATTAGAACTAATAATGGAAAAATGATTCATTCATAGACAACGAATAACCAACTAATGTAATTATTGTTTGCATAGACAACTATGACAAGTTTTCATATTTCGAAAGAAACGCAAAATATATTCATTATCTACAATTTTAAGTAAATTTCTTTCAATGTATCCCACTATATAATCAGCAAATTGAATCACAATTCGACTTTGAACCTTGTTCTTATCATAACTCAAACTAAAATATTTGTTCCGCACTTACCGTTGCAACTGGTAGAAACAAAACTAGATTCAGAAGCAAATAACTAACGGATTAATTTGGTTATCCATTGATACGAACTCGAGGGAGCATTATTAATTAATCTAATCATGGATATGTTACCCGACCCGCCCCGACCCGCTTACATCCCTAGCAGCAGCCGCCGTATGAGCAAAGGAGAAGGAGTAAAGCATTCGGTGTCGGTTTCTTTGTTTCTTTCTTATACCCAGAACAGTAAAAAAAAAAGAAGGAATAAGAAGATTTCAGTTCTCTTCTCGGTGGTGAATTTGTAGGGAATGGATCATGTCAGTAACTTTGTGGTGAGTAACCATGAGTAACCTGTCCACATCAGCATGACATCAGCATCCTCTCTCTCATGGAAAACCTTTAATTTTTTCCTCTTTAATCTTTGACGGACGATTTCTCGCTCATTTTAAGTCGAAATTTAATTTTTTGCACAGTTAGATCAGATTAATTGTGCTCTTCAAAATGATATCCACTTTAATATATTTTTCGAACAAAAAAATTAAGCCATTTTTTACCAGCCTATACCATATGGTATTGACTGGTATTGAAATAAAAGCATACCTATGTTTTGAAAAACGTACCATGGTGGTATGAACAAACCAATACTGTAGGATGGTTGAATACATGATAGTAGAAGTATATTAATTGTAATTTATGACTTTTAACATTGTATACCACACAATACCACCCCGTACCAGGGTGGTATTGTATGGTATTTTTTGGTCCTGTAATTTGTTCACCCAGAAATTTGTAGATCCAATAGATCATGATGAACTCGTCCCTTCTGTGCAAACGTTTTCAAAAACGAATTAAAAACGAAGAAGATACCATACAATACCACCCCGTACCAGGGTGGTATTGTATGGTATTGTGTGGTATTTTTTGGTCCTGTAATTTGTTCACCCAGAAATTTGTAGATCCAGTAGATCATGATGAACCCATCCCTGCTGTACAAACGTTTTCAAAAACGAATTAAAAACGAAGAAGATACCATATGGTATGCAGTTGGTACCGAGAGGCCAGAATTTTTTTTCCTAAAAAAATATTGAAAATTGATCTCATTTTGTAGAGCACGGTGAACTCGTTCCATCTGTGCAAAAAAAATTAAAATCCGAATTAAAATGAAAAAGATGAGTCAATTAGGAAAACTAGTGAAAATAAAAATAGCCTTTAATTCTTCATTCTTAGATCTGGATTTTTTAAATGAAGGGTCCAGATTTGGTTATTGATGGAACGAGTTAATTAGCCATCTTCATCCTTAGACATGGTTATGCACCCTATCTTGAGCCGAATTTGTAATCCCAACCGAAGCTCCGCCTATACCACCTAATCCTTTCTCCTTCGTCGCCGGCGTGCGATGGCGACCGAGACCGAGACCTCGGATTGGGATCTGCGACATCGACCACCAATCAGGTCAGACGCAAACAGCAAGCTCGGGGCCGATCTTCTCCTCGAGATTCTGATTCGCCTCCCCAATCCCAGATCCGCCTGCCGCTGCAAACTCGTCTGCCGGATGTGGAGGTCCGTCATCTCCGATGCCTCCTTCAATCGCCGTTACGTTTCTCACCACCAGACCACGAGCCCCAGCAATCTCAAATCGATGATCCTCGGATTTCTCCCCCCCCCCCCATGGCTAAAGGAGCTCGGACCGCTCTGAAAGTCTTGGATTCCAACAGAGGCTTGGTTTTATGCGGGTTCTGGGGTGGTCAATTTATAAACACCGACGATGTATTGAGCTGCTCCTACTTGCTCTGCAATCCGTTTACGAATCAGTGGGCTGCTCTCCCTTTGGCGCCGAAGAAGTCAGGGATATATTCTGCTCCGGCGGCAAGGTTAGTTTTCGAACCCCAAACATCACCACCACCTGCTGCTGCTGCTGCTAATCGGTTCCGGGTGGTGTATCTCTACCATCAGGTCGACCCAATTCTATCTATCAAACTGGATGTGTTTTGTTCCGAGTCTGGGGAATGGATCAAGGATGCTGTTGTCCACGATGATCATGTCAGATCCAAAGGTGGTTTAGTTTCATGGAATGGGGAGTTGCTTTGGGTGTATCGACATTACCTTAGCCCTGACTTTGGTCTTCGACCCTTGGTGGCGGTGTTTGATCCTTTCCGCCTCGACGTGCCTCCCACTTCCATTGATGTTCCGTCTTCAGGGAAGCTTGCCGTCTCTCAAGATGCTTTGCACGCAATTGTACAAGACAAAAGAAAAGGTCGTCCTGATCTGTAGGAAACAAGGAAACAAGGTTTCCTACAGAATGGGAATTGGGGAATTTAGCTAGATCAATTAGGGATTGATCTAACTAGGGATTGGGAATTGGGGATTTGAGAGCAGAAGAGAGGGAATTGGGGATGCTGCTGCCGCAGCTTTGGAGAAGAGAGGGAGAATCCGCAGGAGAGAGAGAGAAGAGAGAGGATTAGGATTTAGGTTTCTTGGTTCTGTAATTGCTTAATCCCAAAATAAGACCACTATTACAGATTATATAACCTGTCTAATTCCTATCTGCTACCCGAATAATAAAACGTAACAATTAGCTCCCTGTTTATTCCCGAATACCCCAAATAATACCTAAATCATAAAAACCGACGATAATCCGAACTAACAAAATACTGTAAATAATGTGTTTCCCACATCCCCTCTTCCTTCGAAAAACAACCTTGTCCTCAAGGTTGAACCACTTGACCCACTCTTCCTTCCTTCTCGTGCACTCTGCATGCTGACTCCATTTCTTGCGCTTCCTTTTCTTCCAGTTGGCCTCAACTACTCGACTGGGCCTTCTTCCTCCAGTCTCCTGCCGCTGCACCCAAGTTGGGAACGTCATTGATGATCGCCCACTCCTCGAGTCCTCAAAGCATTGAAACGCCTCTTTCACGGTCATCACCATCAAGCAACTTAAGGAATTAAAAGATTCCTTCTTGTTCAAGAACCCATCTTTGAGTACCATTTCATCAAGGCCTGCACACATCTTCTGTGGAACTAGCTCATTAATTTGATTTGCTGATTCTCCACTAGCTTTTGGACCCGACTCTCTTGAAAGGCCACCTCCTAATTCAGTGAGCCCATTTCCTTCTTTCTTTAACTTTTGTTCCTGCAACACAAATCCAAAAGAATTACCCATTGGAGGCCCACTCAATTGGTCCAACTGAACTCGGCCCACCGACAGCCCAACGAACTTCTTTGCCTCCTCCCAGCCTGCCCCTTTGAACCCAACCAAGTCCATGACCCAAGTGCTGCGGCCCATGGTGAAACAAGCTGATCTCTCCTCTCCTGCCAATTGATGTCCAAGGCTGATGGTCCCGTTCTGACTTGAGGCCCGATCAGTAAGGAGGCCCAATTGGGCTGGCCCTTCAGAACTGGCAGCCCAGACATTTGAGCGGCCCAAACTTCCCCGGCTCTGCCCGGCTCGACCTAAGGCTGCAAACCTAGGGTTCGTACGAACGCTGCCGCTGCCGCCGCCGCAGACCTCCTCCTTTGTCTCGTTCATCGAGTCGAAACTCCGGCGAACGATCCCGTCAACACCCTGCATTGTCTTCAACGGCGCATCCTCGACGATCATCACCACAACAGAAGAGGCCAGCCTCTTCTTCTTCGTTTTCTCCCCCGTCGGCGAGCAGTGAACTGGAGGATTCAAGGGCTTGCCCGACCTCGGTGCCGCCTTTGGCGACGCGTGGGAAAGCTCCCTGCCGCCTCCCTCTGTTTCCTTCTCCCGCGACTCCATCTCCAGCGAGCCTCCCAACGGCGAGCAGACCACGCGTCGGCTACGAGTCACGCCGGGCGTCATCCTCTCTTTGGTCGTGGCAGGCAGGGTGATCGGCGGTGACGTGGGGTTTCCCAGCTCTCTCCCATCGAACCTTACCTCCTTCTTCTTGAACTTCCATCCATCAATTGGAATATTCAATGGAGTTGGGGTCGATCCGATATTAGTTCCCTTTGTGGAGCTGGTCTGAATGTCGTGTTCCACTTGGGTATTGCCGCTCGCCGATGATTTGACAAGAACCACTGCGTCTGAAACAGCGAGCTCGGCTGTTCGAACATTGATGGGGATTGGCGGTGTAACCGCGATGAGAGTGGATGGTGTTGATTGTGTTGCGGCCGCAACCTTGTTCGGCGCAGACCCGACACCGGATGAGTCCTCACCAAACGTGGCAGCGTGCTTTGAAGGAGGCGCAGTTGCGGCGATGGTGGTCGGTGGTGGTGGCGCCATTGTCATGGCTTCTGCACGTGTTGGCGCAACAGCCACCACAGCTTCTCCTCCTTGGTCTATTGGTGGCATTTTGTCTCGTTGTTCTGGTTCTTGCGCCGTGACAACAAGAGTAGTTGTCTGTGATTCCGTCACAGGTGGCGTCATGGCCTCAATGGTTCTGGAAATTGAAGTCGAGGCAGCAACGGTCGGTGACTCTTCGGAGCTCCAACGGCGTCCGATGAGGCGAGCCCGGTCACGCAGCTCTGCCCACGACAGGTTCGAGAGCTTTGAAGAGCTCATCATCGAACCAGTTGTAGAACTCGTCCCCGGTTGAGAGTTGTGGAGAACTCAATTCTCGAAACCGGGCTCTGATACCAGATGTAGGAAACAAGGTTTCCTACAGAATGGGAATTGGGGAATTTAGCTAGATCAATTAGGGATTGATCTAACTAGGGATTGGGAATTGGGGATTTGAGAGCAGAAGAGAGGGAATTGGGGATGCTGCTGCCGCAGCTTTGGAAAAGAGAGGGAGAATCCGCAGGAGAGAGAGAGAAGAGAGAGGATTAGGATTTAGGTTTCTTGGTTCTGTAATTGCTTAATCCCAAAATAAGACCACTATTACAGATTATATAACCTGTCTAATTCCTATCTGCTACCCGAATAATAAAACGTAACAATTAGCTCCATGTTTATTCCCGAATACCCCAAATAATACCTAAATCATAAAAACCGACAATAATCCGAACTAACAAAATACCATGGTAAAGGAAACCGTACCGGACATCATACCGGATTCCTTTCTGGTATGGTATTTTGTGGTACGACCGTGGTTCAACCATTTTGTACCGGTAAATATCGTTTTTCACTATTGATAGAGAAATGAAATGCGATAGTATAAAAAATATAATCTATCAAAAAAAGAACCAAATAGAGCATTATACAACCACGGTGACCCATTTTCAACATAGAAAAATAGCAAACTAATATTCTTTTTAATTATTTTCCACATATTGGACGAGAATACGGAGAAATGAAGCTGAATCATAGACCAGGAAACCGGATCATACCGGCCGGTTCAACCGGTTCAACCGGTCAAATCGAAAAAAACCGGTCGGCAAGGTAAAATCAGCACAATAAGCCCACCGTACCGCTTTTGGTCCAATTTCCGGTTGAACCGGTTTAACCGACCGGTACGATCCGGTTTCCTGGTCTATGCAAAATACTGTAAATAATGTGTTTCCCACATCCCCTCTTCCTTCGAAAAACAACCTTGTCCTCAAGGTTGAACCACTTGACCCACTCTTCCTTCCTTCTCGTGCACTCTGCATGCTGACTCCATTTCTTGCGCTTCCTTTTCTTCCAGTTGGCCTCAACTACTCGACTGGGCCTTCTTCCTCCAGTCTCCTGCCGCTGCACCCAAGTTGGGAACGTCATTGATGATCGCCCACTCCTCGAGTCCTCAAAGCATTGAAACGCCTCTTTCACGGTCATCACCATCAAGCAACTTAAGGAATTAAAAGATTCCTTCTTGTTCAAGAACCCATCTTTGAGTACCATTTCATCAAGGCCTGCACACATCTTCTGTGGAACTAGCTCATTAATTTGATTTGCTGATTCTCCACTAGCTTTTGGACCCGACTCTCTTGAAAGGCCACCTCCTAATTCAGTGAGCCCATTTCCTTCTTTCTTTAACTTTTGTTCCTGCAACACAAATCCAAAAGAATTACCCATTGGAGGCCCACTCAATTGGTCCAACTGAACTCGGCCCACCGACAGCCCAACGAACTTCTTTGCCTCCTCCCAGCCTGCCCCTTTGAACCCAACCAAGTCCATGACCCAAGTGCTGCGGCCCATGGTGAAACAAGCTGATCTCTCCTCTCCTGCCAATTGATGTCCAAGGCTGATGGTCCCGTTCTGACTTGAGGCCCGATCAGTAAGGAGGCCCAATTGGGCTGGCCCTTCAGAACTGGCAGCCCAGACATTTGAGCGGCCCAAACTTCCCCGGCTCTGCCCGGCTCGACCTAAGGCTGCAAACCTAGGGTTCGTACGAACGCTGCCGCCGCCGCAGACCTCCTCCTTTGTCTCGTTCATCGAGTCGAAACTCCGGCGAACGATCCCGTCAACACCCTGCATTGTCTTCAACGGCGCATCCTCGACGATCATCACCACAACAGAAGAGGCCAGCCTCTTCTTCTTCGTTTTCTCCCCCGTCGGCGAGCAGCGAACTGGAGGATTCAAGGGCTTGCCCGACCTCGGTGCCGCCTTTGGCGACGCGTGGGAAAGCTCCCTGCCGCCTCCCTCTGTTTCCTTCTCCCGCGACTCCATCTCCAGCGAGCCTCCCAACGGCGAGCAGACCACGCGTCGGCTACGAGTCACGCCGGGCGTCATCCTCTCTTTGGTCGTGGCAGGCAGGGTGATCGGCGGTGACGTGGGGTTTCCCAGCTCTCTCCCATCGAACCTTACCTCCTTCTTCTTGAACTTCCATCCATCAATTGGAATATTCAATGGAGTTGGGGTCGATCCGATATTAGTTCCCTTTGTGGAGCTGGTCTGAATGTCGTGTTCCACTTGGGTATTGCCGCTCGCCGATGATTTGACAAGAACCACTGCGTCTGAAACAGCGAGCTCGGCTGTTCGAACATTGATGGGGATTGGCGGTGTAACCGCGATGAGAGTGGATGGTGTTGATTGTGTTGCGGCCGCAACCTTGTTCGGCGCAGACCCGACACCGGATGAGTCCTCACCAAACGTGGCAGCGTGCTTTGAAGGAGGCGCAGTTGCGGCGATGGTGGTCGGTGGTGGTGGCGCCATTGTCATGGCTTCTGCACGTGTTGGCGCAACAGCCACCACAGCTTCTCCTCCTTGGTCTATTGGTGGCATTTTGTCTCGTTGTTCTGGTTCTTGCGCCGTGACAACAAGAGTAGTTGTCTGTGATTCCGTCACAGGTGGCGTCATGGCCTCAATGGTTCTGGAAAGTGAAGTCGAGGCAGCAACGGTCGGTGACTCTTCGGAGCTCCAACGGCGTCCGATGAGGCGAGCC